CCCCAAAACCCCAAAACCCCAAAACCCCATAATGTGCTATTTAGATATTTTAAGAAAATAAATAAAAATGCAATAAATGATATTTGCTTTCTTATATCCAGATTCAAAATAATATTCTCTAATTTACTTTAGAGATTCTTGTTATATCATCAATAATTAAAATATTGCAAAACAACTAAAAAAATGGGAAATATTGTACTAAGTGAAACTGAGACTCGTTTAAACAAAGGCTAGCGAGTGATAGTAATTACTCTTTCAGAGAAGCAGAACCCCCATACCTACCATCTCAACCATTGTATACTCCTGCATTTCATTTATTTTTGTAGGGTCTCTGACAGATGTATGAAAGTTCTATGACAAATTTAGGAATTTGTGCAAGGACCAATCTCATGAAAAATTCTACAAATATATCACTAAGAGGACTCTGTAGGAGATAATGCCGTTTGGAATATCCAGTACCAACTAAATTTTTTCAGCATATGACCCGAATGGCAGAGGTAAGTTCTTAGCATGGATCAATGATTAATTTTATCTGCTGTAGGGCATGTCAATTTTTTTGAGATCCTCAGTACTGTATTATGGTTTTCTTATGCTGAAAGAGGACAAAAAATTGAATGTAATTAACAAATTTTATATATAAGTCATTAGTCCTATTCAAAATGGTGGATTGGAAGAACAAAAATGCTATGAAGTTGGAAGAACTGCATGAATTATTCAAATGGACTATCAAGGGCTTGGGCAGAGTTTGCTAAAATATTACCCCAAAGGCTAAAAGCATCTAACTTGTTTCTTATAAAGCCTTCAACTCTGCGGACTCAGATGGCAGCAATACTCTTGATATAAGTGAAATGAGAAACTGGATCGAGTTGAATTAATACTTTATAAACTACTGCAAGAAATTCGGTAAATTCTCAATTATTGCTAATATATCATAATAGAACCTAATTCAAAAACATTCTATGATTTCTCAATTTTAGAGAAATTCCCTCCATTTAATATCGAAGAATTTACTGATGATGTCCTTGAAACACAATCAGATATGCAAATGATTAATAAAGGCACTTTTTCATCAATGAGCAGGCTGCTCCAGAGTTCAAAGGAAGTCAAGCAAAAAGTTATCAAAAGTACTTAATAGATCTAAAGTCTTAAAATGTTTGTTTGAAGATAAGAAAAGAAGATCTTAATTGAATAATAAAAATATGAGGAGCAATAATAGCAAATAATGACTCAGAGACTCTTGCTTTCATAAAGAAATAGATAGAGTTAGAAGGATGCCAGTAATTAGCCCAGCCATGTTCATATGCTAAATCAAATGAAGCAATTTTTCATTAACAAGATATAAAGCAATCCAACCTCTCCACAGAAAAGCCCGATTAGGCAAGACAAAGTGAATCTTTAGCTTAAGAAACAGATCGTCATGCCAAAGCTTAAAGCCTTTGAGAATAAATTTGAATGCATTGTTAAGAAGAGTTTGGCACTAGATGACTTTGAGTTTCGCATTCAGCAACAAAAGGCAGATGAATATCAAAGACAGTTTACGCCCTTGAATCAATATATGGAGCAAGTCAAAGAAGAGAAACAAAAGGAGAAACTTCGCAAGATAAACAAAATGAAAGAGGTCCTTGAATTTAAAGAGCGACAAGCTGTAATGAACCTCGAGGCATTCTAAGTTTTCAAGCAGCAAGTGTCTTAGAAACATAGTGTTTAATAAAATCCTCCCAAAATGTCTTAATCGTCATAAAGGGTTGGAAAGAAGGGAATTGAGACGGACAGAACTTAAACATAACAAAGGCAAAGATTTGGAAGGAAACCCACTCTGTTCAAGAATAGCTCAATGAATACTCTCATTCCTCAGAATCTAATCGTAGACTCATCTATCAGACACATGGGATTATTGACATTAGAGGATTTTAACGAATAGAAAAAGAGAATTCTAGCCAACAACTATATAAATTTGGTAAGTATTATATTGAATTTATCAATATTAACATACTAAACTTATAGAGAGGCAAGGTTTACAGCAAGAAATGGATTTAGTGGATGAAAAAATGCTATGATCTGATGGACGAAACTAAAAGGGGCTATATAACTGTGGACGATTACACTGAGTTCTCATAAAAATTCCCTGCTTTAAAGAAAGTCTCGAATTCTTTGTTCAATCACTTTGATATTAATGGAATGGGTAAAGTTACATTTGAAGACATGTTGATATCAATGATTCCTGGTGCAACAGAGCATGATCTGAATAAAATGATAAGCTGGGTAAATATGATGTATGTTAAGAAGCCAGACAAAAAGTCTTACCAGGATGTTGTAAGCGATCTAGATAACTTCCATCGCAATTCATTCAAAGAGGATTCACTGAAGGCTGATGACAATGACTTTGAAGAAAGTCTTAGCTCATTAGATTCTATACCCTCTAAAAGATCTAAATTCAACAGTTCTAATCATAAATCTTCAAGACACACTAGAAGGTTCAGCCTAGGTTCTTTTAATAAAAAGCCTAAAGAACCTTATCTTGACAAAAATATGAGTGAAGGATAAGCAAAGCATCCAGCAGTCTAGCTTGGACCTAATGGCCTCCCACTAGCTTTTATAAATCAAGAAATGATCCTGGAATTCAGAAACATCTTTGAACTCTATGATGACAAGAAGAAGGGCTATCTGTCGAGAGCGGAGTTCATCAAATCACTTTCAGGACTCTATGATCTGGAAAAAATCATAGCCATTCTAAAAGCTTGTGGCTTCGAAAATGAAAGATAGATTACCATCGGCCAGTTCATACAAATGGTCAAACCTGATCATATTGTGGTGCCTTAGGCTGTGATAGAGAATTTGAATGAGATGTATAAGGACAAGTTTTAAACTAGAGTGACTCTTGTTAAAAAGCTCAGTCCAGCACTGCGTAAATCCCTAATGAAATATAATAGTTTTGGTTCGCTTATCGTGAACATGAACGATTGATAACTTATAAAATATACTCTTTAAGTTTAATTTCATAAATCTTTCAATTCTATATTAATTTGAATGAAGGGGTTTTGGGGTTTTGGGG